CCCCAAAACCCCAAAACCCCAAAACCCCAAAACCCCTTTGCTTATAGCAACAAATAAATTTTATTTAAAACTCAAATCATGCCAAAACTGTTCCGAAACAAAGGTCAATACTCCTTTACCTCAAAGTACAAAGGAGATGGCAATGTGCAATATGATGTTGTCAGCACGGAAAAATACAACCTCTCTAGCCCCTCACCAGGAGATGTTGATGAGGACTCAAAGGATAATACTGTGCACCTTAATGACAATACTAGCCCATCCAGATGGCTATCCAAAAACGTCTTCGACTCAAGTATGAATGAAAATGATTGTACTTTCCAGCCAAGCTTGGGTAAAAACTTCACAGAGAAATCTCTTCATCGTGAAACTAGTGGGATTGACGTCTCTCAGACCCAGAAGTTCCCTATGAGTCAAGTGGTAAGCAGCAAAAGCCCTCGCAGAGTAGCTCCAACGGATAAGAAGCTTTCCAATAGATTTTTGAAAAAGTGTATGGCAACTACCTTTAAATCTTACAACAAGAGAGTGTGTAAGAACCGCACTAAGAAAAGGACTAACCGGGTTAAATGTAAGCTAAATCTCCTCTTCGTCACAAATCAGAATTAGGAGCAATATTAATGATTATATTTAGACCGCAATGATCAGGAATTCGCGCATAGTCAAATCCAATCAAATAAAAGACTTGACATTGGCAATCTTAGAGAAGGTTCTACACCAAAACTAGACCTAAGCGAGAGGTTAACTCTTTCAAAATCCTCTAAATTCCTGAACAAACAGTCTATTTCCAAGGCTGAGTGCTCCACAGCATACTCCAAGAGCAGGCAAAGGGAGGGTCGCAAAAATATGAACCAATTAAAAATTAAAGCAAGAAAAACTCTGAGAACTATGAACAGTTGTGAAAAGGTTGCTCCATCTTTGGCTATGTCTGACATTCCTGATGAAGTAGCTAGTAATTCAAACAAGACTTTCATGGATGATTACTACGCCTCAAACGGATACTTTTCATACTCAAATAATTTGAAGGAAGTAAGAGAGAAGGACAACTACCAGGACAGGCTCCAGACTTTTATTGACGAGAAGCTCCTTGAAGTAGCTAGCCAAATCTCTGTTAAAAAGGAACTAGAGCAGGAGAAATCAAATAATATTGATAAGCTCCATGACCTCAGAGATAATATAAGTAAGATCAAGCTTCTCTTCCCATAATTTACCATGATTTAGACTATCTTCACAGTGAAGGCAACCACATCCTCAGTGCAAAAACTCGAGAAGAGGCAGCTCTTACTGCTAAGGCCAAAGAAGTAGAGTCACTCCAAAAGCAGCTAGATCAAGTGAGGAACTCTTACGCTAGGGTTCAAAAAGCATGGAAAATGGAGTCTAAATTTCTCTATAAGCACCTCCAAGATTCTACAGACTCCTACAACAAAGCTGAAAATGATTACCAAGTCAACAGGCAAGATATTAGAATGGAAATGCACGATGATAAAAATCTCATTCATCAGCTCCAAACTAGCATTGAAGAAGGAGATAATATCTTCGCTTCACTGAAAGATAAAGCTAAATACAGCAAGACTCTTGAAAGAGAAAGAAACATGATGATGACCGATCGAGCTCTCTTATTGAAAGATCTATGCACTCATGAAAAACTAAAGTATAAAAAGAATCTCAAGACCTTACCTGCATTTATTGAAGTACCTCATGATAAAGGGAAACCTCTCCAGTCTGTAACGAGCAGAATTAGACATAAGCTGTTCAGTCATGCTGGAAAAATGCGCAAAAAGAGTCCAGATCTATACACCAAAAGACACAGCCATGTCAAACAACAAATGCGACTATCCGCTGAAAAGAAGAACCGTCTTAGCTCTATGACTAGGCCAAGCATCGGAAGATCTGCCAAAAAGCCTAACAGGTCCTTCCTCAACAATACAACTAAAATATAAAACATCAACATCACAAATTGAAAATGGGGTTTTGGGGTTTTGGGGTTTTGGGG